GCAATAAGAAAAAAATTGATCCCATATACCGTATTGACTTGAGTTTAATGTGTCCCCCGTGTTTCTGAAGCTAAAAACAGAATAAGTTACATCCTTGAGTATAATACAACACCTTACAGCCATTCCTATGTATTTTTTTAAAGTTCTAACATATTATCCATTAAAATCTCAATGCCATACATATATTTCACTAAAATATTTAATTTTTCACAATATAATAAAATAGAAATCAACCGGATGTTTCTTCCAATTTCTGTTTCAAAACTTATTTTCATATTTTTGGGGAAAGGTGCTAACTACACTTACCCAATAATACATTTTAAGATGTTAATTAATCTATCATACTTTTGCATTTGATATGACTTTATTATAGTTCTATATATTAATAAACTATGAAAATAAAAAATATTGTCTTTCATTAAGAATGAAGAGAGAAACAAATATTGCCAACATATCGAATACACACCAACCTACTTTATGTTATCTTGCTGTTTGAAATAAGACATTTTTTTAAGCAGAGTAAAAATTTTTGAAAACATCTAATGGAATTGGTTTAGCTAATAGGTAATTAGCAAAAAGTGCTATAACTATAGCTCATGGGTGACTTTGAGTCAGTGTAAGTAGAATATATATGGCTAATAAGTTGGATCATCATAACAAAATGATGTTGCCTGACAGAGCTCTGTTGAACACAGAACCTGAAAATGTAAAGATTTGGATAAAATGTTTTAAGGCATGTGCCAGAATAAAGTTACAAGATGATCAAACATCTGAAGGACAGAAAGAAATCACAGATCTATTTTTAGCCACTGCAGGATGTGAAGCCATTAGGCAAATTTTGTTAATGACTTACCTGGCTGAAATTGAAAACTTGACATTTAAGGAAATCACAACAATAAACTCCCCCCATAGGGCTTACTTATATGGTCCCTCTTACCATTTGGAATTAAGACAGCCAGCTCAATTTTTCAAAAACCTATGGAAAATTTGTTACTGGAGAGAGTAGAAAATATAATTTATCAGGACAATATGTTTAGGTGTGGCCAGTGAAGAAGAACTGAAACAACTAAATTTGTAATGGAAGGCAGGAATGATGATAAATGAAGATAAGTGTATATTTAATTGCAAAGAATTAACATTCTCGGGTTATCAAATTTCAGAAAACAGCACTTCACTAGACCTGACGTTAATACAAAAAATATTAAATGTATCTTCTCCAACTAATAAAAAAAGAATTGGAATCATTTCTCAGATTAATTGATTTTTATAGCAAATTCTTGTCAAAACATTCTGAAAGAACTGAAGCATTTTCTGAGTTGCAAAAGAAGAATAAGGAGTTTGAATGGACTAGTACACACCAAACAGCCTTCATTAAATTAAAAGAAGCTCTATCATGAAATTAAAAGAAGCTCTATCTAAAAACCCATGGTCAAGATTTTTTACCCTAAAAAGGACATTAAATTAACCACGGATGCAAGCAGCCAGTCCATATTGGCAATTTTGTTCCAGGAAGGACACCCAGTGATGTATCTTTCCAGGACATTGACACCAGCTGAATTGAATTACTCTAATATTGAAAAGGAAGTACTTGAGCTTTTATGAAGTATGACCAGAGCAAGACAATTTTTATTAGGAAAAAACTTTTTCTGAGATCTGGTCATAAGCCCTTAGAATTTATATTCCATCCTAGGAAGGAACTGCCAAAAGTTACAATATCCAAAATATTAAGATGGGCTTTTCATTATGATATAGAATACGTGAAGGGAAACACTGTAGCACATATAGATGCATTGTTCCAACCACTATTTGAAAAGGAACAAAACAAAAAAAACATAAAAAAAAAATTGTGGATGAATTTTTGCATTGGGTGGAAACAGATGTGTTGCCCATGAATAGACTAATTATGGAGACATTACAAGATCCAGTCTTAAGTCAAATTATATCTAGAATAAAGAACAATAAATGGAGTAATTGTTCAAAAGCAGAAAGACCATACAAAGAAACTAAACACAAACTATTAATAGAAAATGGTCTAATTTGTAGTGAGGATATAGTCATACCACTGGAAAAATGTAGAAAAGAAGTAATTAAAAGTGTACATGATGATGTGCATTGTGGGATAACCACTACACAAAAACGGGTAAAACTGGAAATGTGCTGGCCAGGTCACACGTGAGATGTGGAAAATTATGTATGCAAATGTCCTAAATGTGCTGAAATAAAGACTTTTCGCCACAATAAGTTACACTCTTGGCCTAAGGAAACAGAATCATGGTCTAGAGTTCATATGGATCACACACAAATTAACAGGATAGGTTTATGTCTAATACTGGTTGATGCTTTTTCCACCTGGCCTGAAGTTTTTTAAGTTCAGGATAAAAAATCTATTACTGTAAAACAAATATTACGCATAATATTTGCTAGAAATAGAGTACCAAAAACATTAGTAACTGATAATGCTCTCAAATTCTGTGACGAAAGTCTATGCTCGTGGGTAAGGAAGATTGGCGGTGTCTCATATAAGACACCCCCTTACCATAGTTTATTATAAAAATCAATGTTCTCGCAATAAAATTGTGATTGATGTTGGTAAAAATTTCAAGATATACTCATATTTATGTGAACTATGTATCATGTGAATGCAATATGTTTATATACTTATAATATCTATACTTATTAAAAATACTGATGATAATTTGTTTTAGGAGCATGATGTTTTATTATGCTAAGTGCAATTTCAATTTTTATTAATAAATAAATCCAAAAGATGTAAACAAAAGAAACATTTTTAACTCTAATATCCCATATACCTGAATAATGTATTATTTTACATGTTAATATGGGCTCCATAATATTCTATAACTTTCACCAGTCTATTATCCCTTGACTGAGTTAAGTTTTCTACTGTTTCAACTTTAAGCTATACTCTAGCTTAAAGTTTCTTAATTGTAACCTGTACCATTAAAAGATTACTGTACTGTCAAAGATTAGTGTCACAAATTATGGGTATATTTCTTAGCTTGATCTTCCACATCAAGGAATTAGTATAAATTTTTTATAGAAAGTAATTGTTTCTGCAAGGTCAACCACAACTAGTGTTTCAGCAGCCATAGACCGCTCCCCTAATGTATTTATGACTGTTATGACACTGGCATGTATTTGCCATTATCAACCAAAAAGAATATAACATTGTGACAGGGAGTTCTTAGCACTTTGCAACCCACATAAAAGCTACATCAAAGTTAAAGTTTACATCTATGATTTTCTTCAATATTTCTCCAAGTATTCCATTATTCCTCCACAGGCAGTAGTCTTTACAAATGTATTCAAATTTTGGATCTATATCATGAAAATACTGATAATCCCAACCATTGTCAGTATAAAGATGCTTCAAAATATGCTACCCAATGTCTGAAGAATGCAATAACTTCACTTCTGTCTTTACTTAGTTCCAAAGACACATTGTACATGTTCCCAGGCAAAAAACTGACAATAGGTCTGGGGTCACTTTTCACACTGCTTGTTGTAGTATATATATGTTATAGTTTCTCTGCATGAGACACATGTAAATATGTGCATATAATTTTGTGTATGAATTACTAGTATAAAACTCTCTCTGATAACAGAGCATGTTTGTCATTCCTTTTCTTCCAGCTATTCTGTTCTGTCTGTGAAATAGTGTTATATCATGGATATAATAGTGCCAATAATGGGGGAAGCAAATAGGAGAATATTCCTTTCTTAACTGGTGACTTATACAACCTAATGTGATATTATTAGTACCCAATTAACTAGTGACCACAACACAATATTATTAGCACTGCCAATAACTGGTGACCACAACATGTAATACAAATAGTACCACATTGCATGCAGCAAGTAATCAGTGACAAGGGAGGATTCTACTTTTTATTTGTCTTTGGGTGATAATGGCAGTTAACCAAACATGTCTTTTGGTCAAAGTCCATAACTTATCTGAACAGGACACAACCTAGCATCAGATTCATCCAATGAAAATCAGTTTTTGCATACTTTTTCACTCAACTTGCACATTTCTCTTTGTGATGTTTAATTAAAGGTGTTAGTATGTTTTCTTTCATGTTTTTGACCTATGTTTTTAATATTCTATTTACATTCACAACACCAGCTCCTTCAAATATTTTTTGGTAGTCAATTCATTTTTCTTGTTTATTTCCACTTTAATTTTTCTCAAATCTCTTTTTGCAACATTCCTAAAGCCAATATTTTTTCTTGTTCTTATGCCAATATTTTCAATTTCTTTTTTATTGATTTTTGATTTCTGTTCAATTTTTTCACAAATTCCAAAGTTGCATTCTGATCACACAGTAACTTTACAATATCTCTAGATATGTCTGAAATTAAAAATGTAGAGAAAAAAAAGAGAAAAACAATACTGTAATCTGTGTTCTACCTTTTCTCCAGAACTTTTAAAGGTCATTTGGAATAAGATGATTAAAATTTGTTAAAAAAAAAAAAAAAAAAATGTTATTTTATTCGGGGTCCAAGGATCATACCACTGCTGGAACCTTAAAAGAGCACATTACAATGCAACACATGTTTATTTGAACCAATAGAGCTCCATATTGCATATTATTATAGAAAAAATCTCATAGTTTAGTAAAAATAAGACCTAATTTTCATAATTTTCCTCTTGATAAGTTAAAATACTATCCTACTTTGTTTTAAAAAAAACAAAAAAAACACCCAATACGAACTTGTTAAAAATATATAAAATAAGAAATATATAAATGTCAAACTCTTTTATTATTTCATGAGGACAAAATTGGGATATTCAAATATGTAATGAAACTGATATGGATTTTATGGATTTTCTAGATCATACCAACTCTTCAAAAAAAATTGAACACTCAATCTTTATGCACACACAAAAGCACATAAAGGATGTACTATTACTATATTCTTTTTTCATGTTTCTGCAGGAAGTGGACACAAGTTAAAAATGTGAAAGCTCAACTCACCTGGTTCAAATTACTTCTTAGACCCTGAAAGTTAAAGCAAATGTGAAGAAGACAAGTTTAATAAAGACTTAAGCAAAATTAAGAAGAGATTTAACAGTATCAAATATCAGAAATCAAACAAACACTCCTATTATTTCTCTTATAGATATAATTATAAACAGGCTTGTTATAATTCCCAAGCCTCAAACCAGGACAGATTTTAATTTTTATTATAGATTTAGGTAAATATATAATAAAATGTTTTTATGACCAAACACTCCTTTTCAGGCCTGTTGACACAAAAAATGTGCTGAAAGCTTATACTTCTAGCAACATTAGAACAGATCCCTCAAAATGGAACAGTCGCAACTAACCTAAGAGTGAAAACCCAATTATAATAGATATTATATTATCTAATATTATATTATTTAATAGATAATATATATTCATCTAGGATTAAATTTGTGCAGTTGAGCTTATCATGAAACAATTCTAGAATAATTGAATACAACTGAAAACAACATTTATTGAGGGAAAAGCTTCATTAATTAATTAAGATAGACAAAAGGTAAATACACTGTGGATTTTCATTTACATAATTTATAGTTGGACTAATGTCTTCATCTTTGTTATTACTATGACAACATTTCAGCCATTGTTCCCTCCAACCTTCATTTAACCTTTTTTTTTTTTTTTTAACTTGAACCCTTTATTTAATCAACAGGAGTAGATTGTTTTTGTTTTGTCCAAGGACATCTTATATTCTTCATTTTTTTTTTTAGTACTGCTCATTAATTTCAATAAATGAGCAGTACTAGAAAACTAACAAGAACAGATAACACTAGACATAGACAGCAGAATAAAAATAATTTATCTCCATAGATTAAATAAAGGATTCAGTTTGAAATTCCTTAAAGGTTACATGGATCAACAGACAACTGAAGAAGTCTGAAGGTGTACAACAGCTAAAACATTATGATAGTGTCAACAAAAATGAAGATATTGGTCTGACTGTAATTAACAATAACTCCTCATTCCAGAAATTTCAACAATAATTAAGTACCTTGTCTAACATGAAATTCACCTAATAAATCTAACTTCTTTAATAATTTCAGACTTTAAGGTTCACAACCTTAAACCTTAATTTAAAAATGTGCCTATCAGATATTTAAATTTCTCCTTGCACAAATAACCCAAAGATCATATCCATATAAATAATAAAACATAAATAATATGCAAAATAATAAAAAAAAACTTTAAATATTTTTCAAAATAAAGCAAAACATTTATTTTTAAAGACTAGATTACATTTTGTTAAATTTCTTTGGGAAGTGATATTTAAAAAAAAAATGCCTCAACTTGAAATTTTTTTTTATTTCATGAAGGAATAAAATGAATAAATTAATCAAATAACTATCTTTATTCTTTAGGTTTGTAGAAAATAACTGTTCTACAAAATCTTTTTAAACAAAAACACTAAACACATTCCTGAAAAAAATACAATAAAAACAAGTCTTTTAAATAATATAATTTTCAAGATAGAAAATGAAAACATTTTTATGTTACAAGCTTAAACAAGAACATTCTTAAAATTAATTCCATTTTGAATGACAATATGAAAAAAGTTCTTTATAATTGTTATAAAATAAAATAAGACATATCTCGGCTGATTTACAGGCAAATACTCAAGAGCGAGAACCGGATGTGAACGGGACAAAGCCCTGTCACAAAATGACCATTATCTTTCTTCACAAATGTTTCCGACATGTGTTCTGGTCGAAAAATAAAATAATATTTAAAGTGCTCTATTTTTCGTCCAATAAAAATGCTTCCCTCCTAATTATACTCGCTTCATTTCTCGAGCCTGTTAAGCCATAAAAATCGCTATAAAAGGGGTCACACGGAAGTTCAACAGGCAGTCCACAGGTGCCCAGGATAGAGACCTGTCACGTTCAGCTGCTGACAGCAGCAGGGGAGCATCAATCACCGTCAACATGTGTGAACTACTATGAGAGATCGACCAGATCCGAAAGCCGGCTTATGAACTTTACCACAAGGTAGCTGTCCCAAACACTTACGTTCCTGTTGAAATAAACCACGTAAATCTATTTCTACTGTTGTCGTATTTCTTTCTTGCAACCATACGCTTGTCTATAACATAATGCATTTTATCCACTAATGTGTCTTTATCTGAAAAAGTCCTCTTAAGGAACAAAATGCATTACACAGTTAATTTTTTTCCATTTTGTCATTCAATTACCCAAGATAATATTGAATAACAAAAAGACATGTATTGAAAATTTCAAATTATGCAGTCGAAACAAAAACTGATTAACCATGTAACAACATGTAAGACCTAATATATATGAGAAAAAGAGAGATATACTCAGAAAGATAGGGAAAAAGAAACAGTAGAAAACTAGGGTGGGAATATAAAAGGATTTCTTTAGTGGACAGAAGAAGAGAGAACAGCCAATCATTTATATTGAGTATTATGAAAGGCACAAATGATAAAAATCTTACTCTGGAATGAAATTGGAAAGAAATTTACATTTAGTAAATGAGATGAAAAATTATAACAGCACAGAATACAAAATTTACAAAACAAGATTGCACAAAATTTTCCTTTGTGCACTAAACAATTAGGCAAAATACCAAATTCTAAATACAATTATGTTGGGCTCATAAAAACAATTATAATTTTTATTATCAAAATAATGTTCCCTTACTTTAATTCAAGTGATTGTTGAAAGGAGTTGAGAAGGGTGATGATTCACAGGCATCATGCATTTCTTTTAGATAATATTTCAGTTTTATGAATTGAGATTCAAAATTGAGATAAATCTTGTATTTTCATAAAGTTTTAAAATCTAATTTTGTGAAAAACTTTCACAAACTATGGAAACCCCTCAGACACCACTTGATGTTTTAGCAGTTTCACTTAAATATTAAATATTACATTACCACTCAACATTTTATAAGTGTCACTAAAAGTAAAGTGTGTCATTCAACATTTCTGGAGATTCTGCACTGAATATTTTCTCCAGGTTATGTCCTATGAAACTTTAAAATTTTCAATAAAAGCAGTATAAAAATTTATATAATAAAAAAGAAATTGTAATGAAGCCAAGTGGTTAGTAAAAAAAAAAAAAAAAAATGACATGAATAAGATTTGATATGTAAAACTTTGTATATATGAGGCTCAAATTAATGTTGTAAAAGAACTACCAAAAGGAAAGCTGACAGTTTATAAGAAAGATTATGTATAAAATTTTGTTTTCAAAATTTGTAAAAAAAAAGAAGCTCAAATCTGATGGTCAAAAAAAAAACTGCCATAATAAAGATAAGGTTTAAAGAGAGATGTTTTGTGATTTTTTTTAACCAAAGTAAGTTATACCACATAGGTATAAAATTTCTGATTAAATTTTGGAGCCTATTTGTGGCTATTTAAGAAGACTGGCCTGTCAGACAAGCAGAAAAAAGGGATTTGGCATTCACATGGAAGAAAATGTCTGGTTTCTGTGAGCTGAACTTGGATGAAAAAGAAAACAAAGAAAACCTATGAGTCAATGTCAAAAAGAAAGTGAAAGAAGAAAAAGAAGCTAAAGAAAAGAAAGCTAAAAATTCTAAAAATTTAGAGAGATATACAATTATCTTTCCATAGTTGTTTGTGAAAGTTTGTCACAAAATTAGAAGTTATTAACCCTGATTTTGAAACTTATATGAAAATACAAAATTTATGTCAATTTTGAATTGTACCAGTATGTAGTGTGGTTAAAAATAAAAAAAAAGGAACGACAATTTTGAAAATGTAAGTTTTCCTTTGGGATTCAAAATTCGATCTGTTAATTGAACAAAGGAAAATATAATGTTAACAGGTATGGAATGTGTGTACATGCAATTAGTCATTGGAGTTTGGTTATCTAAATCTTCTTCGGGCAACAAATGCAATCTTACCAAGAATTGAGGTTAAAAGGTTAGTGGACAGTGTTGAACAAAGCTTCCTGACACCTATTTCCGAAAAAAACAAAGGCAGAAAGGAAAGAAAAGGAAGAAATACTATGCTGAAAACTGTTGAGCAAATCCAGTTGATCTTACAGTGAAATTCTTAGCCGGGTAAAACCAGAATTCCTACTGCATATTGGTTAGTGAGAAAGGATGAAGAATCTAATATTGTAAAATTATTTTCCAACAGGTGTGAATCATACCCCAAATCGCTCTCCCATACTCCAGAAAAAATGTTAATTTTTATATAAACAGCTAATAGCACTCACCAAAAAAGATAATTATCAGGAGAGGAGTAGTACAGTTTCATTGAGAACAGAACAGAACCACGGCTGCTTACCTCAGCTTCAACCGAAACAACTGTTGCTGCTGGTTGCTAATTTTAGGCTGTTTCTCTTGTGAATGAACTTACGATAATTCAGGAAGTTTGACAACACTTTACTTTTTTTCTTTCTCATGAATCCAAAAAGAGAACTCATACTAAAGAATTTAATTGTTAATTTTTTTTTTTAACTTTCTCCAAGAATTTTATTGACTCATGTTGCTGTAACATCTAACTTAAGAAAAATAAAACTTCTGATTTTCCTTTATTCCATCTTTTTATCATCAAATCCAGTGTTGCATCATTTATTATTGATTTCGACATCTGAGGAAACCTGAGACAACATTCATAGATGATCTATTAAAATCTGCCACAGCTCAATATTGTTACTTTTAGTAGCAAATTGCAACACACAATGTACTTAATTCCTTGTGATCTAGCAGACCCAACTTTGGCATTGAGAAGATCTATTCAGCCAGGGAGCAAGGGACAGTTCTGTCCTATGCCAGTAACCAGATTGCAGTTGATGAAGTGACAAGATGGTATTTAATGACATGATCAACATTATATCTGGGACAAGGTTGGCTTAGGGTCACAATTGATGCTGTGACCAAGGATCTCTGGCTTAGGGTGGGACTTCACTCTCAGGAAATTGGCACATGAATATACAGGATACTGTTTCGGATGGAGACAGGAGAACAGAGAGAAAGACCTGAAG